ATAAGCATGGAAAAATACACAAGCTTTGGTCTCTTGGTAAGTGAAGTGGGAGGAGAAAGTTTTCCTTATGATTTCTAGCTCCAAATTCATAACCATATACAATATTCATGTATAAATAGTTACCTGATTTTTTGGATTAGCAAACTGGTTTCAACAATCCTACAGTTGATTGTGACATTACAAAATGTTAATATCCATAAAATGTAAAAAAGTAAAGAAAAAGAATTCCCAGAATGACTATACTACAAAACACTCGAATTTCATTTGGAAATTCATTTTTCATTCTTATTTCATTCTTATTCAATTTCATTCTTATTTTGAATTCCTATAAAGATTTTTTTTAATGATTCAAGGAGTTAAGTAACCAACTTAAAGAAAAAAACCCAGTTTCATCCTTCAGAAAAACCCAAATTTATTTGCTGGTAATTATGAAAATCCAACTTTATATGTGTTGAGTGTGACCACATATGGGCAGTAACACAACAGCTACCTGTGTGACCAGATACGGGCGATCACACAAGGACCGGAACTGGGCCTCGCATCCAGGTGCACAGTGACATGTCAGCTTTCTAGAATCTGAACCTAAAGCCTGTGTAAGAGGCACTTTCCCCTACAGCACTTGCAGCAGCTGCGGCCCCCACCCTTGGGAGCTCCCTCTCAGCTGCTGCCCAGGAGCAATAAACTCTGCTTGTTCAGCCTCTCTGCCTTTTGTGGCAGTCACAGAAATGAGCACAAAACAGTATGCTGAGGGCCCTCCCTGGTGGCGCAGCAGGTTAAAGCACTGCACTAAGAGGCTAAAGGCTCTTCAGCATGAGTTCGGCCCCCTGCCCGGAGGGACCCACATGGGAGGCAGACCTCTCCCACCCACCCGCTGCTCCTCTCAGCAGTGTACTTCATCAGTCGGCCTGTTCTGCTCCCCACTCTGTCTCTGGTGAATCCGCTCTCGGCCCCTGCACCTCTGGCCTGTACCCCAGTTCTGTATGCATAAAGAAATCTTTAAAAAGTATATGTATGCTGAAAACTATCTAGAAGGGGGATCATTGATGGTGAAAACCAAAAATGCTTAAGTGATTTCTCTGGTAGTTGAGAAAAATTGTCAGAGATTCACCTTAAGTGACAGCATTGACATATCCTTAGTAACAGAGGGCGAGCATAGCTTATGAAGTGATGCTCCTAGGTCATTGTAGAAACTCTGAGCTTTTTTCTGAAAAAGGTAGCATACAGTAATGACGTAGGTGGTGATACTGAGTGGCACTTTCACCAGGATGCAAATATAGTCATTTGCTGCCTAGAATGCCAGAGCGAGCGGACTATGGAAACATAGTTGAAAAAGATTTCTGCACAGCAATAAGGGTAATTTGAGTTTATGTTTAAAAAGTTGCTGTGAGACTGATTAACATGGTTGTATTTCTCTAATCATAATTAACTTTATGGGTGTGGAATAGGCAGACTATGTCTGCTAGGGGGCTGTAACAAAGAAGTGGAGTTGAGAGGGTTATGTAAGGAACAATTAGTGACGGGGCAAAAGAATAGAAAACCTAAAGGAGACATCACAAGGTTAAAACCTGATTCATGCAAGGAGGTGGGGGCAGAAGGGGTTAACATGACCATTAACCTAGCCATAGAAATGTCGAGGACCCCCAGAAAGCCCTCCCAGAGAACCCAGAGAACTTGCCCTGCGAGCCCCGACTGTCCAGGGAGCCCACACAGAGAGCCAGCCCAGGAAAAAAAAAACAAAAAACAGGTATCAGACTGTTATAGGAGTGTCAGAAGCACAGACCTGACAGTAAAGCTAAAAACACTGAATCCACTGGCGCGTTGTGAAATCAGTTATCCCAAATCAGCAGCAAACGGCCACTCCACAAAGGCCCCTCCCAGAAAGAAAAGGACCTTCAGGGCAGCCTCTGCACTGGCCTGGGCAGCAGTCCCCTGCCCACGGGTGACTATGCAGTTGCTTCTTCCCACCCTCTCTCCCCCTCTGCAGGGCAGCAGCCTCCTGCCTGCTGCTACCTTTACCTGCCGGAGCTTCTCTTCACGGACCTCCCTCAGCACAGGCCGCCCGCCTGTGACCATGTAGGCCTTTCACAGCAAACCTGTCCCTTCCAGGGCAATTCTTTCTGCTCACTTGTGTCTAAGCAAGTGTCTTTTATTCTTCTGTCCCCTTCCCTTTATAAGCCAACTATTTAAATATATAACATCTCTGTCTCCTGGAGAAACTTACCTGAGAAACAAGGTGCTGCTGAAATGGGGGATCTGGTGAAACCTTTCCCAGAATGAACCCAAGGATCCTGCATTCCAAACTCATCTCCAAAAATTACATTAACTGACAACAATCTACTACTAATTTTAGACAACTGAGATCATGAAGGGTAGACAGACATGTGAAAAGGCATGAGAATTGATGGATTTTGTAGGTCTTGGGGTTGTCTGATGATTGTGGGGGTAAAGAGCTAATATTAATCAACTAATATTAATCAACAAGTAAGAGGAGTAAATAGTGAGTGACTAGGGTGCTTGAAACTGAGACTAACAACTAATGTAGTTACTGGCAACAACAAAGGAGTGGGTGAGATTCATCAGATGTTACCTTTGCAGAAAAGTCAAAGGATCAAAAATGTCCATTGGAGAGTGACAGTAAGACAGAGACTAAAACCACAGGGGAACAAGAAGTGAAGCAGGGACAGTAAATGATATGGGGGGCATTAGTCTGATCATGACAAACCAAAAGTTGAGAAAAATACCAGTGAAAAACTGAACAACAGGCATTACTGACAACCTGTGGGAGAAAGCTAGAGTTCAGTTTAAGCAGTGTTTTTCAGACTGAAGTAGTTTTAGCATGACACTAAATTAGATTGTTGAACCCACACCCAAAGCTTCTGATTTAGTAAGTCCAAAGCCTGAGGATTTGCTTTTCCAATGTGATGTCTGTGCTGCTGGCCAGAGACCACACCTTCAGCACAATACAAGAAAAAAAGAAACAAACTGGTTGATAAAATAAGGGATGTTGTTGATGACTAATCATTAACCCCAGAAAACACTACGAGAAAATTTCAGGAGTTGGAGATAAGTACAGGAAAGGTATTTTCACAAAACCAGGAATTAAGTTGAAAGCAGATAAATTATAAGCAATATTTCATGTATTAAGTTAAAAGAAGTAGGGGCCCTCTCTGGTGGCGCAGCGGGTTAAAGCACAGCACTAAGAAGCTAAAGCCACTTCCACGAGTTTGATCCCCACCCCAGAAGTGACCCACATGGCATGTCAGACCTCTCCTGACCTGCCTGCTGCTCCCCTCAGCAGTGTACTTCATCAGTTAGCCTGTTCTGCTCCCCACTGTCTCTGGTGAATGCTCTCACTGCCCCTGTTCCTCTGGCCTGTACCTCAGTTCTGTATGCAAAAATAAATGAATCTTCAAAAAAAAAAAAGTAAACTCCATGAGAAGCCCGATAGTTTTTTACTAAAAATATGTATAACTTAGGAAAATTATATTTGTATATATATGTGTGTGTTTGTGTGTATATATATATATACACACATATATATATATGCATAGCTATAGCTATAGGTAGCTATCTATAGCTATAGCTATAGATAGATATATAAAAACTAGTAATTTCTCTGCTAAACCAACCCTCCAAAAATTCATTGAGTAGCTACAATGTACCAGGTCCCTTATAGACTGAAAATGGTTAAGGTGTTAAGTTGGTTAAACTAAACACTGTTAATCATTAACATAGCTAGCTGTCTATAAGGACTATTCCAAATGTTTATAGAAAAACATCAAGCAAGTTATTATGCTTAAGTAAGAAGCTATATTAATAATACTGAACTTTTGTGTTTTTTTGGTACAAAGATCAGATCTACTAGTTATTTAAAGGCCACTGTCAAAAGATTTAATTATGTGTATCTGACATTCTCTTTTACTATTTTCATTCTCTTTTGTCAAAATGGGAAGTTTTCCACAGATCTTAAAAAGTATTACATTTGAAATCAACATTAAAAAGAACCAAACAATACTGAAAAGTCTAAAGAGAATCTAGAAAATATCTGTTAATACCATCATATACAGATAATTGTGTATTTCTGATGTATCTTTCTAAAACGCAAAAATAAAAATTGTTTAAAGATATTTTTTAAATTATATTGATTATAATAATAAAGTCAAGAAAAATATAGTATACAAACAGGGCTTTTACTTTAGATACTTCCAGAATAGTGTCTCAACTGCAGTACACTTTCAGAGCTGAAAATTTTAAATACAGGAAACTGACACATTATTTATACATAATTGCAACTTGAGAAGTACTAAACAAAAATATTTTACAGATTTAAATAAAAAGGCTAGTTAAGTAAAAATTTAAACATTAATTACTAACATGTATGAATACTTAAAATTATCATAAGTTCCAACAGAAACTTATATACATAATTAACATGTACTATTAGTTATTTTACCTCAAATTTAACATCTTGCAAACCATATGTAGTATCTTCTTTACATTTCAGTACAAATTTTGATATAGAACTAGCAGAAGATCTTATTGTAAACTGACACTCAAATCAAGTATTGCTTCTTAGCGGTTCTAAATATTTTGGAGACAAAATTTGTTTTAAAAGTTAAAAAACTCAACAGGAACCATGTTTTTTATATACTTCTATATATTCATTTTTAAACAAGAACTATTATTTTTTTTTTTTGCTTTACATTGCTTAGACAAGGGTCTATATTTTACAGCTGTCAATTATTTGTAGAATGAATGACATTATCTGAGAATTTGTTCAATTTTTAGGGATCCAAATTGTAAAATGTCCTGTAAATTACATCCTAAAAAAAAAAACAAAAACATAAAGCTATTAAAAAATGCAAATGAAAATTGTTTAATCATTTTAAAGCAGTCAAAATACAAGATAAGAATTTGGTGTATGAAAACAATTATTTTACCATATGCATTTTAATCTTTTATCATTTATTTTAATTCGATGGCTAATAAAAAACTGAATTTTAATCAAAGTTGTTTTCAAACATAGTCATAATGTCGCTTTGAAGAGTCATATCAATGGTACCCGCCATCTGTAGAAAAAAAGGGAAAATTTAAATGTTATTTAAGAAAATGCCTTAATTATATATATATAAGTGATTATACAATATTCAGAACAGCTCACATAAAATTAATGCAATTTATTTAACATAATGAGTCTGCATATAATTTTTATCTTTGTTCAAATACTACCTGTTTATGTGGTAAAACCTCTAAGAAGGTCCTCCCTGGTGGCACAGCAGGTTAAAGCACAGCACTAAGAAGCTAAAGCCACTTCCTCACGAGTTTGATCCCCGCCTGCCCCGGAGGAGATCCACATGGCGAGGCAGACCTCTCCTGACCCGCCCACTGTTCCCCTCAGCAGTGTACTTCATCAGTCGACCTGTTCTGCTCCCCACTCTGTCTCTGGTGAAACCTCTCACTGCCCCACGCCTCTGGCCTATCCCCCAGTTCTGTATGCATAAATAAATAAATCTTAAAAAAAACCAAAAAACCTGTAAGAACACTCAATTTATCCATTCTCCAAGTGATAAAAGTCTCTTACGTTGAGAGGCTAGTAAGAACATGAACTGAAATCAAATGGTTTCATGTATTTCTTTAACCAGTCTAGTGTTAAACACATTTCCTGAATGAACTAGTATCATAGCTATATGAGAAAACTGTAATGTGTAATTTTAAAGCACTTCTTGGTTCTGCCACTTACTAACTGTGTAACTGATGGCAAATAATTTAGCCAAGTTTATTCTACATATGGATACTTAAGAGCAAACCAGATTGCATGTATAACCTGCAATCTGTTGACACTGTTAATAGACACTATTGTCTATTAATTTTAAAACAACCCATTAAAAATAAACTGATGAGGCCCTCCCTGGTGGCGCAGCGGGTTAAAGCACAGCACTGAGAATCTAAAGCCGCTTCCGCATGAGTTCGATTCCCGCCTGCCCCGGAGGTGACCACATGGCGTGGCAGACCTCTCCTGACCCGCCCGCTGCTCCCCTCAGCAGTGTACTTCGTCGATCTGCCTGTTTTGTTCCCCACTATGTCTCTGGTGAAGCCTCTCACCGCCCCTGAGCCTCTGGCCTGTACCCCAGTTCTGTATGCACAAATAAATCAATCTTTAAAAAAAAATAAAATAAAATAAACTGATGAAACAAGTAATTAAGACAAAAAAATTTTTTTACTGTAAGTGGGAAGGAAGACAGGAGTGGGAAAAAGGGGAAACGGGACCCAATGGCCTGTGGTTAGATTATGGCTTCTTTGGTGGTGGGTGTTGTGACAGGTATCTGAGGATGTGTGAACCTATTCCCCTAAATTATATAAATAATCATCATAAACATAAATAACATATGTGCTCAGGGAGGTATTGATACAGACATGGTTATTCTCTACAAAATTAATCTTAGAGACCATGATTTAAATACTAACTGATGCTGTCGACAATGATACCATGGATGTTCCTTTCCCAGTGGGTCCAAGATGTACTTAAATCATTCATATTTAAGATTAAAAATGACATCAAGGGGGCCCTCCCTGGTGGCGCAGCGGGTTAAAGCACAGTGCTGAGAATCTGAAGCCACTTCCGCATGAGTTCGATTCCTGCCTGCCGCCTGCCCCGGAGGAGACCACATGGCG